AGTGGCGCTGTCCAAAACAAGAGGTCTTCAACTGGGGTTCGTCAAATTGAAGCAGGTGATTCCCAAGTCGAAAAAGAGACTTCTTATCCTGGTGAAGACGTCTTTCTAGAATCTGGTAAGCAAGCAATTGAGGAAGACGAAGCCTCTGAAAGTATTCCCAGCAATTCTCCTCTAAAAATGGCTCAATTTCCTATAGATTATATCGAGTACAAAGATAAATATTCAGATGTGATCGAAACATACTTTCATGATGAGGAGGGAATGGATGAAGTCGAACAACAATCTGAAGAAACTCATCCAACACAGGCTCGATCGATTCCAAATCTGAATCCAACTCTGCAACTTACTGAGGAGGAAAAGATAGCGCTAAAGAAGAGTGATCCCCTTAAGTACGTGAAAATGATGATGGCTCTAAGGGGGTCTTCTTATGACAAAAGTGCTTCTGGGGCTTCGACCCAATCTAGTGCTAGCACTAATGAAGCTTCTTATGATGAACTCCTTCAGTAGGTGAAAAAAGCTATATTCAAAACTGACTTGTTTGAGGTGCTGAAGACAGGCGTTACTACCCGCTTTGGGATGAAAAAACTGATCAATCGAATCAACATCACCGCTTATCCTACTAACGTAGGTGAGGTCATGATAGATATCCAAAATCTAATTGACCAAATTTGTGCTAAACACAACAGGGAAGTTGACGCAACTTCGAAACTCCAAGAAAAGGAACAAGAGCAAATTGTTGAATTTGACAAAGCTCTTAGCACCTCTCAAGAATCTGAGGAATTATTGGCTTCCAAGAAGGCAACCCAAGTGTAGTTCGACACTTACACAACTTCAATCATGCTCTGGGAGTCCCACATTATGGAGTTGTAGAAGAAAATTGTTGACGCCAAGGTGAAACAAGCTTCTATCAAAGGGTTGGACACTACTGAGGCTGATACTTTGGCTGCACAGAGCGTTGAACATGTTGAACGGGCTTCATCCATGAATGAAGTTATTGCACGCCTCAAAGGCATACATGTTGTTGTGTAATACAAGCTTGGCCTGGCGAAGATCAAGTATGAGAGGATGATGAAAAATATCCCTTTTTGATTTATCTAATAAACCATTCATTGTGTTTTCTTTACATTGTAAGCATTCTAGACAAAGCCATTTTGGAACTTCTACAATTAATTCGATCACCATTTTGGCTATGTATATTTTGCTGCTTACTCTCTTTTTATAATTTTTATTTCCTGCAAAAATGTTTTATACTTCTTTAAGTATTTCCCATTTACTCTTAGGATTCTTCGATCCTTAGCTAGCTCCTCTACTTCATAAGTGTTGTTTGAGAATGTCTTTAGGATTCGAAAAGGTCCTTTCCAAATGTGGGGACCATTTTCCCAGCGCTTTATTCTTTCGATCCGTAGGTTATATGACTTTCCATACCAAGTCATTTATAATAAAATCCTTGCCTTTGACCCTTTTATTGTATGCTCTTGCCACTCTTTCCTTTTGTCTTCTTAATTTTTCTAAAGCATGCAACCTTCTTTCATCTAAATCTACTAACTCATTCATCATCATTTCCCAATAAAGGTCAGAAGGAATTTCCTCTTGCCTTTGAATTCTAACTGATTGTATGTAGATTTCGACTGGTAGTACTGCATCAAATCCAAACGTGAATTGGAAAGGTGTGGCGTTAGTTTCCTCTTTAGGGGACGTTCGACAAGCCCATAATGCTTGGTCTAGAGTTTTAGGCCAATTTTTTGGCTTCTTCCCTACATGCTTCTTTACCAGCCCAATTATCACCTTGTTGGTTGCTTCGACTTGGCCATTTGCTTGAGCATAGTAAGGTGTGGATATCAACAGTTTGAAACCTGTTTCTTTGGCGAACTCCTGCATCTTTCAACCAGTGAAGACTGATCCTTGGTATGTTGTGATACTCTCTGGGATGCCAAATATATAGACTATTTGTTTCTGAATGAATTCGATAACAGTCTCCTGATGCACATTTACCAAAGGTATGGCCTCAACCCATTTTTTAAAGTAATTTATACCCACTAAAATGTACTTGTGGTTTTTTGATGAAGCAGGTCGAATTTCTACAATTAGATCCAGTGCCCAACCTCTGAAAGGCCAAGGTTTAATGATTGCATGAAGCTCACTTTCTGGGGCATGTTGGATATCAGCATGCTTTTTGCATTCTTAACACCCCTTAGAAAATTCTATACAGTCTTTAAGAATAGTAGGCCAATACATTCCATATCGAAATAACAACCACTTCTTTTTGTAACCTGCTTGATGGGCTTCACATTTTTCTATAGTATGGCCTGGAGAACTGGCGTGATACTCGCATTTGGCGTTGACATCATATTTTCTTGGGGGTGGCCTGACTGGAGGAGCTAGTGGTTTTAGCACAACCAAAGATGCTTCGAGTAGATGCTGCAACAATTGACTATGAGGCTGGGGAGTGGATCAATTCTCCTTGGTGGTAGTTTTTGTCCTCCCCTTTGTTGGGCATTTCCCTTATGTTGGTAAGGTTGTAGTAGTTTATTTTGAGGCAGGGGAGCTTCCCATGGTGGTGGCATTTGTGGTGCTGAATAAGCCTGTGGCTGGGATGATGAAGGGTTGCCTTCGCTCCTTAGTAATAATTGCATGATCAAGTTCATTTAAGTCTTCAATTTGTGAACCTCCTCCTTCAATAATTCTTGGTCTCTTTTGAGTTCCTCCATGGTTTCTTGAGACATGCTTTGAGTTCTCTTGGGAGTATCAAGAATCTTTCTAGCTGATCATAGTTTGATAAGGGTGGGAGTGTAAATAATATGAACTTTGTGCAAATGGATGAAAATAGAAATGTATGAAAATTCATGGGTATTCAATTTTTTTTTCTTTTAGGTATTGTTATACCCTAAAATTTTCCCTCCCATTTCTATTCAAGATATTCTCCTAGGGTTCTCAAATGTTCAAGGTTGCTCAAGAATTTATCAGATAAATTCTCCTCCTAAGCAATTGACCTATAACTAGGGTTTCATTTTTTTCAAGGACGATTAGGTTTCTAAGGCCTCAAGTGGATTTCATGGCTTCTTACATGTCTTTAAGAGTTCTCATACCAAATTTCATGTCTTGTATCACAAGTTTATTCAGTCAATTGCTCAGATGACTGAAAATCAACAATATTGGACAAAAAGTCAATTGTGGACAACATACAGTCAAACTTCAAGATTTTTGGTCAACCTCAACATTTTAAAGTCATATTCATCATTTGATCAAGGGTTGATCATGATTCATCAAGAAAACTCCCAAATCATCAAAAGTCAGTCAATTCAATCATAGTAATGCATGATTCGATCATTATGGGACCCATGCGATAAGTTTATCCTGCATAGTTACACCTCAGAAACATGTTAGTAATGTTAGTATGCATCAAAACAACATGAAAACAAAAATATAAATTTACAAAACACAAGGGAACCGTAGATACATGTATGCAATTTTCAAGCTCTTTGGATCATCAAGATCGATCCAATCTTACCCTACAATGCCTCTTAAGATGAATGGAATGGTTGTTTGGCCTTGAGGAAACCTGGAGAGAAGGGTTTCGATTTGCCCTAGTTTTGACAAATTTTGAAGTTTTTGGAAGGTAGTCTCTTGCAAGGTTTTGTGTCCTTGTCTTGTCTGAATAAGGAATATATATATATATATATATATATATATATATATATATATATATATATATATATATATATATATATATATATATATATATATATATATATATATATATATATATATATATATATATATATATATATATATATATATATATATATATATATATATATAGTAAAATTAGGTCAAGAAGAATGGGCTTGGACCTTTGTATGGAAACTTTGATTTTATTAAATTTAATTTTGAATTTAAATAAATAAAATCAAAATAAAACCGTATAAAATTCCCTTTGAATTTAAATAATTTCGAAGTGGGTTTGTGTTTTTTATAGATTGAGAAATATATTAGAATTTTCCGCATACGTAGTCTAGGAGTGTGAATAGCGGAGTTTGTTAGATGAATGTGCATAGTTGATTTAAATATATTTGCAATCCCTTTGGAAAGTTGGTTGTTGAATTAATTTGATTTACGAAAATAATTTGTTGTTGGTTAATTATTTTTTAAATATTAATTATTGAAAACATCTTTATTTAAATGGCTGATTAAAAATATTTTTAATGCAAATAAAATAGATAAATTTGAATGAGTTTGGAAAATAATATTTATGTGTTAACAAAAATAAATTAAAAAAAAGCAATATATGAAAATTTAGTGTTATTTAAAAAGATTGATGAACAAGAGTTTGTTAGAATATTATGATATGATATGCGAGAGAGACGGTTATCCCTAGTTAGATAGTTATGAAAGAAAAGGTCCAAAGACACGTGAAGAAGTAAAACCATACCCACCGAGACTCTTGGTAGCTACCCTAGGGTTTTCTGAAAAGTGTGTGTAAATTTATTCATCACTTTGGTTGGTTCAGAAAAATTAGTTGACAATGAAAACACGGAGACGAAATTATGCTAAAGACAGACTCAGTGATTTACCTAATTATCTTTTACTTGAAATATTGTCTCATTTGAATGCCAAGCAAGTTGTTCAAACATCCATCCTCTCCACAACATGGAAGAATATCTGGAAGGATCTTCGTGTTGTTTCTTTAAATTCTTGAAAATTTAAATACTTTGATCATTCAATGTTGTGAAGTTCTTGATGATAAGAACCTCTCCATATCAAGTGTCTCGCTTGTTAATTTAACAATACAATTGGCTTATAACGCCCCTTACAAATTTGAGTTATCTACCCCAAATCTTTGCAGCTTTTATTTTGTCGGTCACCCTTTTCAGAAACTCTGTGGGCGCAATAGCTATATCAATCTCCCTTCTATCAAACATGTACATATTGTTTTACCAAACTGGAAAGGTGTCGAAAATTTTCATTCAATTCTATTTAATTGGCTGCTTGAGCTTGCTCTCATGGAATCATTGACAATCTCTTCAAAGACTCTTGAGGTATTTTAATTTGGTTTGTGTAAAATTTCATTGTTTTCACTTTTTATTCATCTTAACTCACTTTCATTCCTCATTGCTTAGATTCTCGACTTAGTTCCGGATTCATGGAAGATTGATTTCCCTTATTTACTTAACATCAAGTTATTGAAAATAGAAACGCATACTCTTTCATCAATACCTAATGGAATAGGTGACTTTTTGCTTCAAAACTCACCATCTGCAAAGAAAGTCATCGTAGAATTGTCAGGTAAATACAATTGTTTTCATTTGCCTTTTGCTTTCTCTTATTCTCCCTTGTCAGTATACAAGCATGATGATCCAAAAAAAATAAGGAAGTTTAATGTTGTTTTTGTATAATTGGATAAACCTTTATGTTTAAAGTAATGAAGGTTAAAATCAAGAGGACTACCGAGTACTATCATTGTTTTAACTTACTTTTCTAGCCGATAGATCAATAACTTCTTATGCATTTATTTCGGTCTGATTTGCAACATACATTGTCTCTATATTTTACAGAAGAAACACAAATTAGAAGAATGATTGATGCGTTGGGTTTTCCAAGAGATCATAATAAGCGTGGATGCAGTGATCACCACAATTAAGATTTCTTTCTTTTCCTGCAAATTACTGAATTATTGTAAGCTTTTTGTTTTTTTAAGATCAAGCTAAGTGACTTGTATTTCTTCCTAGTGAACTCATTTTTTCCGCGCCTCTTTTAACAACATAGCCGCATGCACCTTTCATCACAAGTCTTGACTATACTTAAACTCCACTACTTGTACTATCAATCATTTTTCTTGCATGTGAATTCACTGTTAAGCATCCTTTGCATCCATCACGTTTCTAAGAGTGGTATTGCTATTGCAATCATATAGCAAACATAGTTTTATAAAGTTTGACCCTTTTATATTCATTATAGATATTGTTTAAGAAGCCTATTGATGGGGCTACCTTTATTTGAGCCTTGTCTATACTCTTATAAATAGTTTAGAATATATATTTTTATACATTGATATGATTTTCTGTCATTGTTTTTCTAGTTGTTAAACCTACCATACAATTTACTCGCAGGCATCAATTTGTTCTATACATGTACATTTTTACGCACGAGAAATCAATAATATGACGATTTTATTAGATGTTATTGTCTAATATGTAGTCATTGAATTTATGTTAGATGCGTTTATGGGTAGGGAATTTCTCTTATCCACCCTTATAGTGTGGAACGCACTTCTGAAAACTTTAAAATATCAATTGGTTTTTTCGAAAGATACATCTCCAAATACATTAAATCTTATTTTTTGTTAAAATTTAGTTCGGAGATACACCTCTAAATTTTTCTGAGATTTATTCAGAGATGTGTCTCAAAAAATACACTTGACGAAACATGCAATTAGAGTTGATAATAGTTACATCTGTAGCTTCATTTCATCGTCTGAATTTTTTTAAATGATTAATAGGAATTCTGAATTTAACTCATGGTGACACTAAAAATTTTAGGTAAAGAAAAATATTATTGTAAATTGTTCACATTTGCTCATCCCACTATGAAAGGTCTCAACTTTAATATGGGCTAAAGTATAGTTCATTTCTTCTCTCAAGTTGCAAGAATTTTAACTAAACATCTCTTGGCGGAGTGGAATTTATATCTATGAATGATTATATATCCATGTTTGGTGCTTTAAGCTTTAAAATGAAAAGGAATAAAACATTAGTTATATTCTGTATTACTAGTATCCTGTTCAGTCTTTGTTAAACTACTACCATAAATCAATTCACGGTTCAATATATTACATTACTATTTAACTTCCCACTAAATATATCACCAGTTTACTATAATTTATTCTGGTAGGTTGTGTCTTGAAATCAATTATTGAAGTTGTGCATTTCTTTGATTATGCATCCTATTTTTAGTTCAGGTATATTTTTTAAAATATATCTCTAAATTAACCTAAGAAAGTTTTATAAAGTTTCACCATTTTATATTCATTATAATCTTTAGATATTTTTTAAGAAGTCAATTAGTGGGGCTACCATTATTATTGTTAATTAGAAATTGATCTTATCATTTATTATAAATTATTTAATTCCAATAATACATTACAGACAATAGAATATTTGTCATTATTATTTATAATTACTATTATATATCATATGAAATACAATAGAGAAAAACATCAAGTCAATTTTTCCTCGACATAGAATGTGGTGCCGGTCGGCACTCTTCATCAACACACATGTGCCGCTCGGCACGTGTCTATAATTTCAGTTGCAATTCTGTAACTACGTCCAATCTTTTCTTCAATCAATAATTCCTTTTCTTCCCATGATTTCAGACCAACACAACAACTATACTCACATCAATATATAACAATTTTCAACACTCGATTCATCAATTGAATCACTGCAACGTTAGCATAATTATCACAGACACCAAACAACAATTTATCCATACAATAATTACACACATCAACAATTTCGCACAACCCAATTCACACGTAATATGCATCATATACCCAATTATAGAGTCAGAACCCCTCCCTTACCTTGGATTGAAGGTTGCTCTACAAATTTCCGATCGAATTCCGCTTTGTCTCTTTTCCTCTTCTCTGTAACTTCTACGTTCTTTTCTCTCTTTCAACCCTTATTCTTCTTCTTCTTGACAAAACCTATTTTTCCTTACTGTCAAATTTAATTTCTATTATTATAACCAAACTTAATAATAGGAGTATTGTTATTGGGCCTAATTCTCAAACCCCATTAATACTACATACCACCAAAATAAGCCCAACGACTAATACTAATAATTCCAACATTACTATTATTATTAATCAACTAATTGATTAATTAATAATAATCTAACAACTTATACCAACAATCCACAACATCTCAGAACTTCAATAAATAATCTAAAAATAATTTAATTAAATAATTAATTAAATTAACGGGTGTTATAACTCTCCCTCATTTAGAATATTTTCGTCCTCGAAAATCTACCTGATACTACCACTCTTATTGCGAGTTTCACATCTAACTCATTGATTTCCAAGTCGCGTTTGGCAACACTTCGACCACTACTTTCTGATATCTCAAAAACTCAACACGGTTTAAATCACATATACACATGCTGATCATTCAACATCTTCGCGACATAATCATTAATAACTTATCAACCACTTCAACAATATCTTGACGTATCAACTTTTAGAGTAGTAACAACCATAACACACTTATACTTAGACATCGCTTCATCCTAGTTGCTATTGACTATTTCACCAAATGGGTCGAAGCAGCTTCCTTCGCCTCTGTTACAAAGAATGTGGTTGCCCGCTTCATCAAGCAAAACCTCATATGCCGGTATGGTGTCCCTGACAGGATCATCACAGACAACGGAACCAATCTGAATAATACTATGATCACCGCCCTATGCGAACAGTTCAAGATTTATCATCACAATTCATCTCCCTATCGGCCGAAGATGAACGGTGCTGTTGAAGCTGCGAACAAAAACATTAAGAAGATCATTCAGAAAATGACTGTCACCTACAAGGACTGGCATGAAATGCTACCGTTTGCTCTGCATGGATACTGTACCACGGCACGAATTTCAACAGGGGCAACCCCATTTTCTTTGGTATATGGCATGGAAGTTGTCCTACCCATGGAGGTTCAGATTCCTTCTTTAAGGATTATGAAGGACGCTGGTTTGAACAAAGACGATTGGATTCAGACCCGACTTGATCAACTCAATTTGATCGACGAGAAATGACTCGCTGCTGTTTGCCATGGTCAGGCGTACCAAAAATGGATGATCAAGGATTTCAACAAGAAAGTCAGACGTCAAGTATATCAAGTTGGAGATCTTGTAATCAAGCGGATTATCTTGCCGCAAAATGATCCCAGGGGCAAATGGACTCCTACTTACGAAGGACCATTTGTGATCAAGAGCATATTTTCTGGTGGTGCAATGATTCTGACGACCATGGACGGCGACGATCTGCCGCACCCTGTGAATGCAGACATAGTCAAAATATACTACGCATAAAATCACCCGACAAGTCGAAAACCCGAAAGCGCGGCTTGGGCAAAAAATGGGCATCCCGGTGAATCAAAAACCCGAAAGGGCGGTTCAGGCAAAAATTAGGGATAAAACAAAAAAAATATGTACACCCGGCAAGTCGAAAACCCGAAAGGGCGACTTGGACAAAAAGGGGTTTCCCGGTGGATTGAAAACCCGAAAGGGCGGTCCAGGCAAAATTTAGGGAATTAAAGCGTATGACTATGTCTCGTCGGATCACTTTAAAGACAATCTCTTCATCAACCAGCTCCCAGCTTCCGATCAATCCAGTCATCGGCGGACGAAGCATTGAATGGACAAGATATTCAAAGTTGTGAAGGCTATAGCAGAATGGGGATCCCATAGAATTGTTTCACATAGCCATCTTTCTTTTATATAAAATTTTCAATTTTTACGACGACATCCTCTTACTAGGATGCCTGTCTCCTTTGTACAAAGATATTCATAAAAAGTTAATACAAACACTTTTCCAAATACAGAAATTGGCTTTGTCTTCCTTTTGCTTCTTACACTTATGTTTAATTTGAAAAACGTCCAATGTTTTGTTAAATAGGCATATGCATTTGAACATAATCATTTTCTTACAAAATCAAGAAAGAAGATTGCTGATAGGTAAAAGGTACATAAAGATATCTTGAGGCCCTTTCAGAAGGAATCCCCAGCGGAGTTAAACTCCAAATTCCTCGACAAGGTTAATATCCAGAACTTAATTCCCCAAACAGAATTAAACTTCAGGATCCTCAGCAGGGAAAAAGCCTCCTCAAAGCCGATTTCCCCCGCCAGAGAGCCTTCCAGAACTTAATTCCCCTCAGGGTTAAGTTTCAGTTCCCCGGTGGAGCCTTAAAATCTGAAAATCCTATCCCCAGCGGAGCTAAAACTTCCAACTATCAATCCCCAGTGGAACCAGACTAGTGAACCCTCTCCCTACAGCGATACTTCCCACCATACTGAAGATTCTCAGTCATACCTCTCCAACATAAGTCTACCAGGTTCTGAACTCCCCAGCAGAGATCATCAGAATTCTCTTACCCCGCAAATCACCAAGGATTTTCAATCCCCAGCGGTGGTCCTAGAAAGAATTGGGAATTTTCGACTTGATTCAAATTTTGAAATTAGGTTTAAGCTATTGCCAACCCTTCTTGCTAGTGTCCCTGTATTTTTGGGATAGTACTTATAACACTTCTCATATCCCATGTGGGATGATAACCCCAACCTTTTTTGATATCGCTACTATTACAGGACTCCCTCCTACTAGAGATACTTTTGACCCTTTTTTGGAATCTAAAAACACCATCGATTTTAATGTCAAGAATGATTCCTTTAGCACCTATGTAGACCTGTATCATGTTGATGGTGAAGATGTCTCTGATGTTGAACATATAGATTTTCTAGCTTTATGGCTATCCAAATTCATCTTTTGTTGTAAATCCTTTCAAGTAGCCAATATATTTTTAACCTTAGCAAACCAGTTACATTTTGGTCGAAAGGTGTGCTTGAGTGAGTTACTTTTGGCTAGCTTATATG